ATAACCAACAGCAATTTAGGTCAAATGTACAAAAAGACAAGACATGAATATGATGTGACTTGATGAGACGTATTATCGTACGGCAACTTCTAGATTGTTGGGGAATGAAATTTTCGACAATAATGATGGCTGATTCCATGTAGAAATCCTTTGAAAAATTAGCCGCGCAAACGGAACAATGCTTTTCATTCAAATTTGCACTCCATTTTTGTATGCTTGAGTAGCAATTTCATATGAATGACTTTCACGGAACCCAACGATCGAAAATGCATTAATCCACGAATAGTATTGATTTTTAAACAATATAATCTTATCCAAAACGGTATATCTCGTGCGTTTTGTCAACACATTCTACATCTGAAAGCGCAGAAACATCACTATCTGCCGCTCACTTGAGACAAACATGCGACTATGCCCACCTATAACTGACTGCACAGCAAGCACGCGTCAGGGCTCCTCAAGCGAGGGAAAGTTCATATCATCTTCCAGACTAATACCCATCTATACATCACTACACCGTCGACAATTTGGGCGGTAGTGGGTCAAACCCTTGCCAACTTCATGGGCGGAAAGCTTCCACACTACACACGACCGCATTTCATGCGTGAGCAGAGCTCTGTAAATGCCCGGACTGTCTTTGGTTAACCATTCATTGACCCGAGACCAATCCCACAAAAGCTTAGACGCCTTATGATTTTGTTCAAGATGATATTTGTTGAGCGATAAACAGCTGTCTGCTTGCTTGGGCAAAAGTGCTCTGCAAATGCCGGTTCTTAGCCTATTGTCTACTATTGGAAAGTGCACTCAGATCACAAGCTTCTTTGGAATTCCAGACCTTCGTTTGTATTGCAGTGTGCCTCCCGCATTTGCATTGCGCCCATTCGTAAGGCATATATAATTTGGTCCTTCGATTCAAAATAACAAAAACATTTATCTTAACAAAGCACTTTGGCAAATTTTCCGCATATACGTTTGAGCATAAAGAGATTTTGAGCATAAACAGATACCAGCACGGAAAATTGCAAACCGATATAAAATTTTCAAATTAAAATCAATATTATACAGACACCATGTTATTGCTAGGACTTGATGTTGCTCAATTACCTATCCGTCGCTCCATGTATCTTCTTGCCTGTCTAGAGGATTATTCATCACTCTAGGAGGACTGAACTAGTCCCTTTGTTCATCTTTCTATGCAACGCTTTGTCCAATCACCCACCCGCCTATCTATCTATCTATCTATCTATCTATCTATCTATCTATCTATCTATCTATCTATCTATCTATCTATCTATCTATCTATCTATCTATCTATCTATCTATCTTTCCATTTTTCTATTTTCTATCCATCTATCAAACTATCCTCCCATCAAGCAGGCTGGCTAGCTATCCATCGTCCTTCCTACATGCCTACCTAGATATCTCTTTCTATTCATCTATTTCTTATAAAGTTGTCAATCGCATTTTCTCCAGTAATATCCATGTATGCACTCTGTAATATTTTCTTATAATGTCAAGGGTGTATCGGTTGTAATTGTTCCTCTTTCTGCATGCCGCCTATTTAATTCGCCCGGCTGACTCTTGTTTATTCCATTCGCACTCCCTCTAAATTCTCATTTGCATACGCTAACAAATTTGTGTGTGGCGATCTATATACCCCAGTTTTCACAAGTGTCAACATGATGGGTTGCTTACCATCATCCACATAACTCCAGATCGTCAGGGATACGTTTCTTCTTGTGTCGTAATGAAACCCGTCCATGAGGTTGCATCAAATGTCCAATAGATTTTATATCTCCCTCCGAATTACAACACCAAAATTCTGGGAATGATATGAATATATGCGTAGCGTCTCGTACAACGTGCGTTCAACTTGCAACACAATAAAGCATCGCGTCATCCAGGGTGTTGTTGGTCCACGTTCTACCGAGACAAAAATAATTTAGCAGAGATATGTTCGGTTTGTCTGTCGGTTGTCACATTGGTGTCGTTCGTTGTCCCAGGTTATCACATAGGTTGACAGCGTTTCCTTATGCAGACACCTCATGGTTTTTCCATCATTCCGATTCCTCAATAGTTTCTCCCAGATGCGCTTGCTTCATTATATTTTATACTCATTAGTCCTACTGGATGGTTAGCGCGAACAATGCATTTAATCATGGAATTTCATGTTGGATGCGCTGACGTAATCTCCAATGGCCAGATTACGACGGCAGGGTATGCCAAGCTCAAAGGTCACGTGGGCATCGGCGAATGGAGACACAATAAACGGAGCAATCCACGGAATCCCCTGACCGAACAACTAATCGCGATCAATGGTCCACCCTTGCTGGCAGCACGTATATCAACGCACTCACAACGCTACGCAACACACAACCGCCAGCTCACCGCTGCGAACTGCTACGCTACCAAATAATGGACTGATGATGTCACCTCTATTGGTGATGAAACGTTCGCAATCGAATTGCCCAGCGAACAATCCAATTCTCACCGGTGAGAAATATTGCTTATGCGTAACCAAGTATCCAAGTGAGGCATTAAATACTGAACCGCTCTCGATGTATCATTATTCCGTCTAGGAATCCGCCGTTTGCTACGTTCAAGCCCTCTAGTTTTCAGCGAGTACCTGATTAGGGGGGCGGTTGTCTATTCCTCGGGTATGTCAGAGACCATGTCCCAATCAAGAAGCACCATCATCATAGTGTGCATTTTTCTACCAGATTTGTACGCTTGGCCATAAATGTTCGTTGTAAATTTTTCAACGGTAGTCTTTGATTGGGAGAGAAAGTTTTATCCACTATTAAGCAGAACGCACCCGTGAGCAATTCGTAACGTTTTTCGTACTGTGGTGAGTGCGGTTTTTTAACGGCGTATGGTCACTTATCTCAAGCTGAATTACGGTGTCCTTTCAACGCCATTAGGGTTTATCAATGCTTTATCCTGATCACAATTCCCACTAAACATCTTCCACTTCATCGTATTTATTGAAACTCCCTCTGATCATTCCACAAGTACGGCATGCGACTTCAGGTTAGAATGCTCTTCACAGCCTTGTTGTATTGGGTTTTGTCCATCAGAAGATAGTACGAGTAACTCGACCGTTGAATACTACGGCGTTGTTCGATACGTTTGTTATTTTCTACGCTGACTCTTTTACTCGTGCGGTCGTTCGTCCACCAAACTAATGCGCGATTTCTGTAGATACGATAGATTTAAGAGCTGAAGTAGAGAAGTAAGTTCTTGAGGTGACACAGTGTTCTAAGAGAACCTGAACGACAATCGAAAGTAATCCGCATGCCCATTTATATGCTCGCCCGCATTGTTGGTGGTGGGTCGTGGAGCGAACGCGTTCGCCGCAAAGTTCGCCAATCAGAATTACAGCAACCGGATTGTGACTTGGTAAAATGATTCCGCAGAACATCAAACTCTTGAGCATAATTTCGGTCCATTTTGAAAGCGCGTTAAATTAAGTATTCTGTGTTTCATCGTGATTGATCAAAAGTGGCCTCGGTCAGATAGGTACAGACATCCTGCTTATGGCCAGCGATGTATTTCAATAGGCGATTCCACATGGCGTTCGAATGTTGATTGATGCTGCCGCCAGTGACAATGTGGAGATTTCATTCAATTTGGCACCGGACATCAGTTGATTATGTCCAGCACATACGCTCAGTAAAAACGCCAGAGTGCGCTTTTGCTCTCGGAACTTTCTCTCATTACGAGGAGTATAACTTAATGATTGATCAATTGCACTGCGCTTTCCAATCCGAGTTTCTACGACAACGAGCGGAGAATCGGTGGCTGAGATGGCCTTGAATTGTCCAAGCCAGGACGGTGCTGGTCGACAAGTAGACTTGCCATTCAGAACACAAACTCTAGAAAGTAGTTTGGCGCCATAAACATTGCGCTTTCTCGAGAGCAACACAAAATTGGATGTCATGTAAGCTCCAAGCAGGCGGTCAGTTTAGATCTTGGTAGTGGNCATTAAATACTGACCCGCTCTCGATGTATCATTATTCCGTCTAGGAATCCGCCGTTTGCTACGTTCAAGCCCTCTAGTTTTCAGCGAGTACCTGATTAGGGGGGCGGTTGTCTATTCCTCGGGTATGTCAGAGACCATGTCCCAATCAAGAAGCACCATCATCATAGTGTGCATTTTTCTACCAGATTTGTACGCTTGGCCATAAATGTTCGTTGTAAATTTTTCAACGGTAGTCTTTGATTGGGAGAGAAAGTTTTATCCACTATTAAGCAGAACGCACCCGTGAGCAATTCGTAACGTTTTTCGTACAGCGGTGCGTGCGGTTTTTTAACGGCGTATGGTCACTTATCTCAAGCTGAATTACGGTGTCCTTTCAACGCCATTAGGGTTTATCAATGCTTTATCCTGATCACAATTCCCACTAAACATCTTCCACTTCATCGTATTTATTGAAACTCCCTCTGATCATTCCACAAGTACGGCATGCGACTTCAGGTTAGAATGCTCTTCACAGCCTTGTTGTATTGGGTTTTGTCCATCAGAAGATAGTACGAGTAACTCGACCGTTGAATACTACGGCGTTGTTCGATACGTTTGTTATTTTCTACGCTGACTCTTTTACTCGTGCGGTCGTTCGTCCACCAAACTAATGCGCGATTTCTGTAGATACGATAGATTTAAGAGCTGAAGTAGAGAAGTAAGTTCTTGAGGTGACACAGTGTTCTAAGAGAACCTGAACGACAATCGAAAGTAATCCGCATGCCCATTTATATGCTCGCCCGCATTGTTGGTGGTGGGTCGTGGAGCGAACGCGTTCGCCGCAAAGTTCGCCAATCAGAATTACAGCAACCGGATTGTGACTTGGTAAAATGATTCCGCAGAACATCAAACTCTTGAGCATAATTTCGGTCCATTTTGAAAGCGCGTTAAATTAAGTATTCTGTGTTTCATCGTGATTGATCAAAAGTGGCCTCGGTCAGATAGGTACAGACATCCTGCTTATGGCCAGCGATGTATTTCAATAGGCGATTCCACATGGCGTTCGAATGTTGATTGATGCTGCCGCCAGTGACAATGTGGAGATTTCATTCAATTTGGCACCGGACATCAGTTGATTATGTCCAGCACATACGCTCAGTAAAAACGCCAGAGTGCGCTTTTGCTCTCGGAACTTTCTCTCATTACGAGGAGTATAACTTAATGATTGATCAATTGCACTGCGCTTTCCAATCCGAGTTTCTACGACAACGAGCGGAGAATCGGTGGCTGAGATGGCCTTGAATTGTCCAAGCCAGGACGGTGCTGGTCGACAAGTAGACTTGCCATTCAGAACACAAACTCTAGAAAGTAGTTTGGCGCCATAAACATTGCGCTTTCTCGAGAGCAACACAAAATTGGATGTCATGTAAGCTCCAAGCAGGCGGTCAGTTTAGATCTTGGTAGTGGGGCATGAACGCTCGCATCACTTAACGCACACTCACTGAGAACTTCAGTCTTTATGTTCAGGTTCGTGGATTAGCAATTTAATTTTGATAAAAACACTAGAAGTCTTTCTGTCATTGAATGTCGATCAAGCAATCAGTAGGTTAAGCAGTATACACACCGCCGTTAAGGACAGGAATATTTAGTCCGCGATGATGTACTGGCCTCCACTTAGAATCATCCCTCCTAATCCACTCTCCAGTGAGTGAGGCATTCGTAGCTGGAATCTTCAGTACACAGTTGATAGACCCTTACTTTGCAGGGAACACTAAGTGGCTAATTTGACTAAGCGTTGCAATGGTTATTCACCTGAGGTTAGCGTAGTTACAGGAAATTTCAGTATGTACATCGGCGTCCTACGCGTCAACTGAAATGTGGCCACTTACGTTCTTCTGCGATTGTCGTTAAGATGGCATAGACAAGATATTTGGTGAATAATTTAGACACGGGTTCATACATTAGACTGGGCTATCCAAACATTGAATCCGTCTATACTCCGAATGACATAATGATGACTTATACCCTCAGCGAAGAAATACATGGAAGTTGTACTTACAGAATCAAAACATCACGATGAATTTGTGCGCTCAACGATTAGTCCGTTAGACCGGCATTCATTTGAGTTTACAGAGGTTGTCTTGGTGTGTTTATGAAAATGTTTATACCGAAGGAGGGCTTTTGTAGAAAGTGTAACTTTTATACTGGATCGCATAACCAAGATAGTGAAATCTTCATTCGTTCGAAATATCTATGATTAGAGAGTTTTTCATCCAATTGTTGGCATGGGTTTTATGGGTTCTTATTAATTGGAAACAAGGTAGTTTCTTCACATTGATCAATTTGCGAATGTGTTTTCAGGACGTCGCTCCAGAACGAAGCGTCTTGCTTGCCCATTCCTGAAATACTCTTGGCGTGTCAGGTAATCTAACTCCATTCGTATTAAGAGCTCCCTTCCCGGTTAATAACGGTAATCCGAACTTAACACACCCAGATGCAGAGATGAACGGACGCAAACGTCACTCCGTATCCCGAGCAGTCCGCAATCCCAAACACATTGCATTTATTAAGGTTTTGTTTCCTTCGAATTTGGTCTCTTTTATACAGCGAATTTTGAAGAATGAAAATAACCGTCGCTGATTTTCACCGAAGCAGTGTGAACAGTTTATTTGACACACCGGCCGAAATCACACGACTCGAGTGTTATCTTCTCGCCCCCATGTCATATATATATGCATATAGATATATGTGTATATTTAATGTGTATATTAATTGTTCAGGCAGGTGTGGAACACAGGAGGAAATGACTTGCAATATACCAGCATATCATGTGGGTGACCGAATAATCGCAGCCTCCCGATTTGTTCCCAGTTTGCATCGATCAAATGTGGAAAGGTTTTGACGCTTCTGAGTGTGCCACTGCGTGTTATGGGTGCGAAAAATGTCTGATCAATCATCATCAATCATCATGTAATCGCATTAGGGAACAGTTGAATTCGAATACATACCCAATTCTATATTGTTTGTGAAAGTCGATGGGTACAGTGTAGGGTATGGGATCGGTATTGTGTATTACCGGGTAGCGCTTCAGAACTATCAGTCGTGGTCGCTGTGAAGAGTTACCGGTTCCTCTGCGAAAGTTTTCTTTATAGTAATGTAAATGAAATGATTGTGCGCATAAACACCTACTTAGGGGTATTTGTTAAAGCTATGTACTCTAAAGCATTGATCTACTGATTTCGGTTTGTTGATTTTTATTCATATCTTCAATTTTAGTCCTTTCAGTTCAATTTTCATGCTGCCATATCGCAATTTGTATACCCACATGCATTTCGGTTAGCCATGGATTTACTGTGAGAGTAGTTATCTCATATGGTTAATTTTTACGGAGCCAAGCAAGCAAAAATGCGGCATTCTCCAATTAACATAGCTTTAAAAGAATTTAACCTCACTCTAAACCGTATCTCTTGTGCTTTTTGTGGATTTATGCTTCATCTAGGAAGCGTAAAATCATCACCATCGGCTGTGGCTACCTGCAACTAAATGCACAACGAGCATGCGTCAGGGCTCCTCAAGCCGGGAAAAGTTCGTATCTACTTCTAGAATAATATACAACTAAGAATCGTTTATTCAATGTATATCCGCAACAAATTCGGCGGTAGTTGTGTACTTCCTGAGTGTTCAAACACTTGCCGAATTCATAGGCAAAAGCTTCCGCACTTCACACAACTGGGTTTCATACTTGAGCTGAGTCATACAGATGCCCAAATCTCTTTAGGCTGCCATCAATTTTGGTGAAAATCGATCTCACAAAAGCCTTCTAATTGTGTTCAATGTAACATGAGGTGAACCAGAGATGTAGCTTCTCGGCCTTACATATATGTGCATACATATTATTTCGATCATAAAAAGATGTCAGCATGCAAAGCAAATTTCATCTGCATCTAATGCGGACCATTAAACGGGTAGCTGATGATCCATCGCTTTTAAACAAGTTTACTCACCCATAACTACATTGGGTGTTAGATCGCGCGGGCGAAAAGTAATTCGTGCAATATTGACAAAAGTGTGTTTCAGTAAGGAGATTAAGGAAAGAAAAGAAAAATCATATATGACTATATATGACACAGATCTAGCAAAGCGTGAGACAATGCCTACCTCGAAATAATGTTGAATTTTGATTGCTATCGCAATCAGAATTATGTTGCTCAGTCTAGCGGTTGCAAACATCCAGCATACAAACCTTTCTTCTCTGCACAGTGTTGCGGCCAGTCAGAAGATCGTTTGATCAAAAGTTAATCGGTCTGTGTTCTATAACTATGTTACTAGATATCTCTAAATAAATCGTTTGTTCATGTTTATGGAATTTCATCGGCTAAGGCGGAAGGATTTTCATGTGTCTAACTATTCAAGTAAACAATCCAAAAATGTCAAGGAGAAATTTTCCCCTCTGAATTGTTCCGTTCATTTTTCCTGTGTACAAACTACTTAGTAGATCAACACCGCTGATTCTATGTTTGATTAGAACCGACGGATGCTTCGCAGACACAGACGGTGTAACTCTGGCAGGTTTTGTATATTTTTCTGAGCGTAAAAATTAAGTTTTTGATTCAGTCCTTCGTCATTCCGAGCTACCCAAACGATCGTCACCAATTATCGTATTAGAACCCTTAACGGGTAAGTGGAGATCATAAAGTATTTAATTAAACAACTTACCCCTTTCTACATTGAGTGTTAGAACGCGGAGTAGAATGGTTAGTCGCTAAACATTGACAATGCGATATAGCATGTGCAAGGCTCGGAGAGAATTCGAAAATAAAGTTTTACTTACTCAATGCTTTATTTGATGACAGAACAAGAAGGGAACACTCATGCAACATTTCCGACCAGATGTAGCATTGTTCAAAATTAGAAAAAAATGGTCACATAAAAGTATCATCGTCGCTTGGTTTTCTCAAGATATACATGACCCACATATGGGGCTGCATCACATGATAATCAGCACGCTTAATATACTTTCATGCCACGCAATTTTTCAGCGGAATGAATGAACGATTATTATTATTTTATTATTATTTATTAGAAAATGCCAAATGACCAGTTACAGACTATTGGACAGGGTAGAAGCACTCTTATACGCAGCTTACTTAGAGAAAATGAACATCCATCTTTACTTGAACGCGTCTGCCTTAACTTCGCTGAATATTCATTGACATTTTTCAAATCCAAGCAAATCCTACAAAGCGACTCCACAAATACCGCAGTAAATCTCCGTTTTCAAGAGACGCACTGAAGATCATACAACTCGCATGTCTCCCCCTTCAGTAGTATAGCCGTTACAAAGGTAGTGTCATGCACTCAATTTTTTAGGACACATTTCGCTGAATCACGCAATTTTCAGAAGGATGTGGCGTATTCTACGTATTTACACCAAATCTTTTCCTGTTGGTAACCCTCTCAAAAGCGTCAGGCATATCATCTTCCTCAACGTCCAAGGCTTTGTTGGAATATAATGAGTGTGAATACCGATACAACCTAACTGTGGTGAGATTTCAGGGTAATGAATCAAGGTCAACCCATATTTAGAAGTCTTACGTTTATTCAGTGCATACGAGAAAAGTTACATCGTGGTTATCGAATAACGATTTATCTATTTGGATATTTATTTACAAGTAATTTTGGATCAACCTTCCAGTGTCCTAAGATATTTTTGTTGGGGTACCAATAAACATTCACGTCTTAACCTGGGGGCTACCGTCGTTAAACGCGGACGAAATATAAGAATGCATCTTTGAAGAAACTGCAACTCAAATACAGAAGTTGCGGCGAAAGCACTAGTGATCTTCGCATCATTTAAAACATAAGTTCTTACATTCTTCTGCGATTGTTGATGCGGTTGTACAAGCAGAAAATTGGTGAATATTGCAGAGGTCGCTAATCAAACCTCAAAACTTATATACACCCAGCAAATAAAAATATGCATATTGCAATTTACACCACCGGAACATCACAATGAATTTATGCTCCGGGAAACTAGTATACTGGGCTAAAATGTATTTGGATTTCCAGGGGTTATTCTTATGGAAATGTTTACACAGAAAGATAACTGCTGCAGAATACTTGACCTGTACACGTGGCCGGCGACAAAAGTGAACTTTTGAATCGTCTGGAATATCTATGATTATTACGTCCTGTCTTTCCAAATTTTGGTGTGTATCACGGGCCTGAGATTCGACAGCCATATATTTATTGTCCTTGATGTTTCTACCAAATAGTACCGGAATTTTCTATCCAGGCTGGTCCTCTAGCGTACGTGATGATCGGATCCTACTGTCGAAAGAATCGCGAAGCACACTCGTAC